ATTATTATTATTATTATTATTATTATTATTATTATTATTATCAATATCATCATTAATAATGTTAGTATAATTGTTATCATGATATGGTTATTGTTAATATTACTATGATTATTTTTCTTTGTCATTATTATTGTTTTATTATTATCATTACAATTATAGTGATATGAGAATGACAATAATGAAAGTAATAATAGAAAAGATAATAATAATGATGCTAATGATAGTAATGATAATATTGATAATAATAATGATAATGATAATATTAATGACATTAATAATAATAATGATTGTTAATGATGGTAATAATAATAATATTATAATAATAGTTAATAGTAACAATTCTTATGAAGATAATTATGATAATGAGTAATCAAGTATTAGTTATTACTATCATGATTATCATCATTATGGAAAGTATTATCATTGTTATTATTATCATTATTATTATTATTATCATTACTATCATCAATATGATTATTATTAATTTGAGCATGATTATTATTATTCATATTCATATTATTATTATTAATATTATTATTATCATTATTATTATCATTCTCAATAATATTATCATTAATATTGTTATCATTATTATTATCATCTTTGATATTATTTTTATTATTATCTTCATTATCATTGCATTTTGTACTGATATTATGATGATCCTTATAAGTTTCAAGTTATCATTGTTATTATTATCTTTTGTCATCATTATTCATATGATAATTTTTATCAATATCATTTTAAATGTTGTTATTATTACTGTTATTATAGTTGATATCATTATCATTACAATTATTATAGTTGATATCATTATCATTACTATTATTCATATTGATATTATAATCATGAACAATGTTACAATTGTTTTTATTTTTCATGATTAGGATTACTATTACGTTTGTTATTATCATTATTAATTGTTTTTATTTTCATTATTATCTGTTTTTATTATCATTATTATCTGTTTTTGTTATCATTGTTATCTGTTTTTGTTGTCATTATTATCTGTTTTTGTTATCATCATTATCTATTTTTGTTATCATAATTATCTGTTTTTGTTATCATTATTATCTGTTTTTATTATCATTATCATTATAGGTCGCGGTGGCGAGTGGTTAGAGTATCGGCCTCAAAGACTGTCATGGCAATTCGAATCACCGGCCACCGCGTTGTTCCCCTGGGCAAGGTACTTCACCTCGATTGCCTCCAGACACGGGCGTCCACAATCCAGTGGACTGTCCCGCGCCGGTCCCAAGCCCGGATGAATGGAATGGGCTGGCGGCAGCAAGGGCATCTGGGTATAAAAACAAGTCCAAACTATGATGCGGTTGATTCCGCTTTGGCAATCCCTGAGGGAAGAAGCCGAAAGAATATAATTATCATTATCATTGTTATTGTTATTATCATTATCATTATCATTATTAATATCATTATTTTTATTATCATTACTCTTATCATTTTCTGTATTACTGTTATTCTGAATATTATCGTTGATATTATCAGTGATATGATTATCGTAATCATCATAATTGTTATTATTTCTATTATCATTATTATTATTACTATTGTCAATATTATAATTGTTATCATCTTCATCATTATTACTATTATCAGTATCATTATTGTTATCATCATTTTCATTATTACTATTGTCAATATTATTATTGTTATCATCATTATCATTTTATCAATATTATTACTGTCATTATCATTAATATAATTGCTGTTATTGTTAATGTTATTATCATTATCCTTTTTATTCTTGTTATCATCATTATCCTTTTTATTCTTGTTATTATCATTATTATTATCAATTTTATCATTAATAGTACTCTTATCAATATCATTATTATCACTAGTATCACTATTATTATAATCATTATTATCATTACCAACAGTATTGTGATAGCGTTGTTATTGATATTTCCAATTATATTTTTATTAATATCATTGTTTTCATTGTTAATATGCCCACGGTCATTCCAGTGTTTCTGGAAAATAAACCAGGTAACTCCGCAGGTGATGTGATGTTTAGTATTTTTGAAATCATAAGATTGTGATTGTGTGTATCCCTGAAGAGCGATTTTGCCAGTTATAGTGCTTGGTGCAAAGCCTGAGGTATTAAGTAATTCACAATGAAGAAATAATCAAAGAATGTGTCTCTAACACCGCTGAGTTATTCTAGAATTCTTAGAGTCACTCTTGATAATAAGCTCACTCCTGAACATTATCCACTCAGTTCATTTTTAGGGTTACACATGTCTAGTGACACTGAATTAATTCATTCTACTTTATTAGGGAGTTCCGTGTCGGCTTTTTCTAATGTAGACTCTCTAGGTCAGTATTATTCAAGCTGGATGGACAGCCCAGCTCAAGGCGAACAGGCCTTAGTAAGGGCGAGGAGGATAACGTCCAACTGTCAGGACTGAACTAGTGCTTACGAGCTCTCGAATTAATTTCATATTGCAAATGTGTTTGCATATCATATGGTAGCTTCATACTGTGATTTCATATTATGACCAAAAACTTCTCAGTGTTTTTGTTCACTTACTTTTATATCTCGTTAAGTAGCCCTTCCGCACTGGTTTTGTCATAGCTGAAACACAAATGAGTGAGGTTAGATATACAGTTGAAGTAGACTAATACTTTCAAGGGAACATTAGTTTCCGTAATAATGTTGATTAGCAACTGTTTTTTTTTTTTTTTTTTTTTTTTTTTTTTACAAAATTTGTGATATATAATTTAACAAAATTGCCTCAAGTCAAGGGATGTAACATATTATTGTAATAGTGGTATTTTAATGTGTCTCTATAGATTTAGTGATTTTGTTCGAGATTTTGATTTATTTTAGCCTTAATAAAATGAGTAACCTTCCACTCATTTTTGCCCCGATGTCGGTGATCCTGAGTGGGAGAGCAGGAGTGTCAGAATCCGTGGAAATCTGTGGGTTATAGCCAACTAATATAAACTTTGGTTGTAGCCTGGTTAAAACACACGCATGGGCGCTTATGTGTACATAAGTATACAGACATACAAATAGTCTCGCATACATAAATATAGGCGTACAGATATGCATACACACACAAACAAACACACACACACACACTCACAAACAAACACACACACACACACACATATATACATACACACAGAGACACACACACGCATAAACACACACACACACACACAAACACACACACACACACACACACACACACACACACACACACACACACACACACACACACACATATACATATATATAGATATATATCCTGTGATAGGTTTGCCGCTCAGGTGTCGTATCGTCAGTATGAAGAGGTAGACTATCACACTCGTGAAGAATTTCATCTTTATTATAAACGTTTCGAAGGTATAATCTAGACCTCCATCATCAGTAAACTGTCAAAAGAACCATTAAAAAAATCAGTTGGACAATAATTAAAACGAAAATTAGGTTTCTAAAACAAACTA